AAATAAAATGAGCGCTCTTGGTCAATCGATCGAAGATGACCCAAATCCAATCCACCCCTCGTGCGGTCCTGTGAAGATTTGTGATAAAAATCCATCGTAATGTCCTCCCATTTACACAACAGAATATCCAATGGATGCATCTTGTCGTGTGGCCTCTGGTGCTCGACCTTGACCTTCCTGCAGATCAAGCACTGCTCCACGTACCATGCTACATCCCACTTCATGCAAGGCTACCAATAGTCCAGGTGAAGATCCCTATACATCTTCGTTTCCCCGGGATGAATGGAGATTCGATATTTGTTCGCCTCCTCCATCAGAACCTGGCGCACACCCCTGTGGTACGGCACCTACACCCTACGGTGTAGTGTTAGTAATCCTCTGCTGTCATAGTCGAAGGAGGAAACCTGTCCTACAATTCGCTCGCTCTTTTGATGTTCCTCCTTTATGGCCTCCTGCTGGGCCTCTCAAATGCACTCCAAAAGCAGAGTCACCACTGTCATCCTCAGACAGATATCCCTGATCGATGCTGCCTTGCGGCTAAGCTGGTCGGCCACCACATTGGCCTTTCCCGACTGATCTATGAGATACCTCAAGCTCTTGTGGTCCGTCAAATCGTACAACGAACCCCATACAGGTAATGACGCCAAATCTTGAGGGCGAACACAACAGCCCCCAGCTCCAAATCATGTGTCGGGTAGTTCGCCTCGTGAGGCTTCAGCTACCTCGAAGCGTAAGCAATGACATGCCATCTCTACACCAATACTACCCCAAACCCGAGATGGACGCATCACAGTACACGATGAAATCCTCCATGCCCTCTAGAAGGGCTATGATTGGCACCTCTCACAATTTCTATCTCTATGTCTCGAATGCAGCCTGCTGCTTAGGCCCCCAACGAAAGACCACGGCCTTCCTCGTTAGCCTGTTCAGGGGTACGACTATCTTGGAGAAATCCTGGATGAATCTCTGATAGTATCTGGCTAATCCTAGGAAATTCCGAATCTCAGATGGAGACCTCGGGACCTCCCATCTCATCACAGGCCGATCCAACATCGGCCTGCACACATGGTTCATGAGATCCATGAATGCGGTAGGAGCATTGGTGAGCCCGAAAGGCATCACCACAAACTCATAGTGACCATAACGGGTCCGAAAGGCAGTCTTCTGCACATCCTCCACTCTGACCCTCATCTGGCGATATCCTGAACGCAAATCAATCTTGGAGAAATAAGATGCTCCCTGCAGCTGGTCAAAGAGATCATTGATCCTCGGGAGTGGGTAACGGTTCTTCACCGTCACCTTATTTAGCTCCTGGTAATCTATGCACATACGATGTGACCCATCGTTCTTCTTTACAAACAAAATCGGGGCTCCCCAGGGTGAACTGCTTGGTCTAATGAATCCCTTGTCTAACAACTCCTGCATCTCAGGAGGAGCCAACCGGTACGGTGACTTGGCTATCAGAGCCTCTCCAGGGACCAGGTCGATTCTGAATTCCACCTATCTCTCCGAAGGTACCCCTGGCAACTCCTTAGGGAATACATCCTCAAACTCCCGTACTACGGGCACATCGCCCACCGTTGCCCTACACGCCTCCCGGGTATCCATAACATAGGCGACATAACCTGCGCAACCCTGCTGGAGGTAGTACCTAGCCCTCGCTGCCGAACATAAAGATGGTCCTCATTGTGGCCTTTCGCCCTGAACCACCATCTCTCCCCCACTAGGGGTCCTAATCCGTAATGACTGTTGCGCGCAGTCGATTACTGCCCCATTGGGGCTCAACCAAGCCATACCAATAATAACCTTGTTCCCCCGCAAAGGTATGGGAACCAAGTCCACCAGGTAATGTTCCTCGAACAGCCTCAAAACATAATCAAGGTAGACCTCTGATGCTCGTACCGACCAGTCGTCTGCAATATCAACCTCTAAAGGGCAATCCAACATGCCCAAAGACTCCAGAAACTTCTTGCTAAGCGCAAGAGAGACAAATGATCGAGTGGCACCCGAATCAAACAACACCTGAACTGGGATACCGTTCACATGGAACGATCCTAAGCAAGGCACATAATATATCAAAATCAATTTGACATAACATAAAAGCATGAAATAGGAAATCATACCCATCACCACATCGGGTGCAGCGCGTGCCTCCTCGGCTGTCAGCTAAAATGCTCGGCACCGAACCACTGGAGTCAACGCCATTGTTGGCGCCGCTGCTGCTGTCGATCTAGGGCAATTGGCCCTCTGATTGCAATGAAAACAAATCAGGTCTGATATCTGAATCGCAGGAGTAGGGGCAGTATAATCTATGCTAAAATGCCCAACCTTGCCACACTTATAGCAGCTTGAACCGGTCTAATGCGACAAGCTCCCTCGTGTGACGGACCACATTTACCACAGCAGTCCCGCCCTGAGTGGCCTTTCGGCCTACCATCGGATCCCTTGGGCTTCTTCCCCGAAGCCCCCGTCGTTAGCCCCTCCGCTGCTTTCCTCTTCCGGATGTGCTCCAGATCAATCTCCCTCTCCCTATCCCTAGAAATCATGGAATCCAAGGTAGGGCAAGCTGAGAAACTAACATGCTCCTGGATGACAGCTCATAGCATGTCATGGTAGCGAGTCCTCCTCATGTCCTCATCACTCGCATACTGGGGCACCAGCAATGCCCTCTCTCGAAACTTGGCGGTGATCTCCGCCACAATCTTCGTAGTCTGTCTCATGTCCAAGAACTCCCTGGCCAGTTGCTGAAGCTCCACAGCTGGCACAAACTCCACCATGAATCTGGTCAAAAAGTTTAACCAGGTCATAGCCTCAACAGTCGAGTCTCCCAGAGAGTCACCAACCGACTCCTACCAATCTCTGGCCTTGTCTCTAAAACACCCTGCAGAGAAACGGACCTTCAACCCTTCCGGGCAGAAGTTCGTCAGCTGCGCAGACTCGATGTCTGCGATCCATCTCCTAGCACTAATGTGGTCTTTCACCCCATGGAAATACGACGCACCACTCCCTCTGAAGTCCTTAAAGGACAGTATGCGTGATCCTGACTGGCTAGCCGCCAAGTCACTCCTGAACGCCCTGAGGCGATCCTCCATCAGCTCAATGATCCCTTCCTTGATCGACCCGAAGATAACCGGCGTCGCATCAAGGATACCTCCCGTGATCTCGAACGCGATGAACTTGCGTAACCCATCATCCACATGCTCGGATCCTGCACTTGAGCCCGATCCTGACCCAGACCTTGAACCTCCCACTCCATGTCGCGTGACCACCAGTCTGAAAATAAACATACAAATGTCAGGGTCACATATACTTTCTAGAGGTCTCACACACTCTCGAAGTTTCCAGGCTCCATCTAAGCCCTCCTTGATTCAAGTATGGATCCTTTGCTTTCAGTAGTACGGGCCCATACTACCTTCCACATCTACCCGTACTTTCCTCAAGGATTGCTTCGACTTCACTAAGTCCCTTTTACCGATATCCCTTACAATGACCTCATCCTAGGCTTCCATATGGCACTCTCCGACCTACCCTCCGCCATCAGCTGCACTAGGATTCCCCACCACCTCCCCTTAACTAGCTTGCGGATACTGTTACATATCCATTCCTTAGCTAGTTGAAGATGGCCAGGACCCCCCACTACTAGAAAAACAACCTTTAATGACGCGCAAACAATGACATGCGGTGATTTACGATACGCAAAAGCGTGCGCTCTAAAAATAATGTCATCTCTTCAAACTTTTGAAGGATAGAGGTCACGCTTTTGTGCATGCCCTAAAATAAATGTCCACGAAAAAAATTAAAAACACGGAGGGCACTTATTTAAAAATGGGCGTCATCTAGAAATGTCGATTTATATTTTTTGAATGAAAGGCGCGTTCTCTTTTTTTTTTTTGCAGCTGGGGGGAAACGAAAATCCCAAAAGTTTGAAAGGCCGCCATTGTTATCCTCTATCTTATTTCCATCTTTCTTCTCTCTCTCTCTCTCTCTCTCTCTCTATCTCTCTCACTCTAATACCCAAAAAAACCCTAATATCATCACAAATCCTCTTTTCTCCCGCAACAAAATCGCAATATCACCAAATCTCTGATCCCGTCTTCTAAACAGATCAAACCTGCAGGGGTTCTCAATTTCTCTATGTTGATGTGTGGTGACACGAACAAAAAAAGGAGTGTAGCGCCTCTACCTTTCAATTTCATTTGTCGGTTGCCTCAAATCGACTATTGCTTTCTCTCTCACAGGGGTTTCTTTGTGCGTTCCCTTCACCTACGTTATAAAGGAATATATGTGGGATACAAAAGGCGTTCGAGAGAAAGGGAGGACATCGATCAAGGCTCACTTACTTCTACCCACTGGAACCACCATATCTCCCACTCGATGTTAAAAGCAACGTCGACATCGTCGATAATGTCAAAGACAAAATCCAGGTTCTTATTTCTCCTTTATTCATGCCTCTAATTTCGATTTTGAATCCTATTATCTTCTCTTCTGTAAAACCCTAACCAGAAAAACATATACAAGTTTCAATTATGATTTCCTCCTCCGGTGGCGATAGCTAATTTTGCGTTGGAGGCACTTCTTCTGCTCCCGATACTCATGGTTCTAAGGATGTCGCACACAGTTTTATCAAATCTCGTGGCTACCATGGCCTCTTCCCTTAGATCGAGGTTCTCTCTTTCTTTCTTTCTTTCTCTCTCTTTCTCTCTCTCTCTCTCTCATGTTCATATAATTTTCTTACTAGAACATTCACTTATTTTAATTGTATAGATTGCAATTACTGATTTCGATGTGTTTCTTTATTCCTACATTCAAATCAAAGTCACATTCAATCTACAATAAAGAAAGCAAAGCTGCACTTCAAGCTAGTCTTTGGGGGAAATATTGACGAAACATTTGATCAGCTTGAGAGTTACAGGACATGGACACTTCATTTGCTTCAACTAGCATTCTGGATAGACATACAGAGTTGTCCTTGAGTGCTGTTCAGTCAAGAAAAAAATATAATGAGGACTCATGTTGTTGCTTTGGCCTTCGATGGTGAAGAGGTTTGGCTGAATTCTACTAGTTTTGAATCTTTTAACACTATGGTTTTGCATCCAAATCAGGTGTCCATCATTCTATTCCTTGTGAAAATTAGATTTGTTTTTTTTGGCCATGCACCTATATATAATTTGGTTTATTGGTTTGTTTTTGGGTGTGCAGAATGAGCTGATATATGATGATCAAAATGGAAATATTCTTGTATGGGACTTGATTGCAAACTCTCATTTCAAGATGGAAGATGGAGTTATACATGTTTATGCAAGTGAAAAAGGTAAGTCTGTAAATTAAATTATGATTTTACACTTATACTAATCATTTGTTTTCAACTCTCAGATTCCGTTGATCTCTTTCCTATTGCAAGCAGTGCAACAACTTTTTTCATTGACATGCATCACATTCTCAAAATAATCTCTGTTGGAAATGTTCGTTCCGCATGCTATCATCGATTTAGATTTCTTGAAGAGGTAAACTTTTCTTATATTATATATATATATATATATATATATATATATATATATATATATATATATATATATATATATATATATATATATATATAGTGTAGTACCTGAACAGGGAAATCCATTTGTGGTCTCCTGGTAGACTAATCCATGTTGTCCCAATTTACTGTTGGTGGAAACATTTTATAGTCTCTCTGCTGAAAGAATCCCTGGAAAGTAATGATTGATACACACATACACTGTCTTCTTAGAAACATTTTACAAGTTTTTATAGTAGTAAAAGTAAATATAAATCTGAGCAGAGAGAGATCGGGCAAACTTAGGAATCTATGTTGATGGTATCCAGCCACTTGATAGAATGAGCACCAATCCCTGGAAAGTAGTGGAATTGACGGCTTGTAAGGACCCCCTTTTTCCTTCTATGGAAGCAAACACTGAATCTTATTACAGACAATAACACTTCAAAAAAGAAAGTAAACAGAACAAGTAAATGTGTGATACAAACCTTGAACCTATCAATGCTCACAAATTCTACATGTTTGCTACCTGCAGGTGTGGTACTTGTTAACTTGGGCATGCCAACAAGTTCAAGAACATTTGCAAGTTTTGCTCCACCCCATATTGCTAACACAATCACAACAAAACACAACTTAGGTATTTGGTTTCTTCTTTTTGATTTGATAATATCATTTAAGATGCAAAATCCCTACTTCTGGAATCTCAAATCAACCCTAATTATGAAAACAATCCTGATACATACATGGGATTAATATGTGACATAATTCATGAATCCTTAGACAATTGCATTTGACCATTTTTCTGATGTGTATTTGATAGTGTCATTTTCTTTGAATCATGATGAAAAAAAAAAAAACTTTTTTGGAGAATCCTTCTTAAATTATAGTATCGAATCCTACACTTGATCCCTTTGTTTGCTGCGTAATTTGATAATGTAGTTCATTAGCTATGACTAATCCTACAAACACATAGATAAATTTGATTCATGTCCCTTTGTTTACTTGTGTGCCTTTTGCCTTTATAATTGATGATGTAAGATGTAAAATCCCTACTTCTTGAATCTTGAATCAACCCCATATGTGAAAACAACCATTATGTTTTGAAAATATTAACTTTTTCACCTTAGAATGTAAGATCAAACCCATTCCTTGAATCTTGAATATTGAATCAACCCTATTTAAGATGTAAAATCTCTTTATTTCTAATGTGAAATTTAATTTTAAAATTAAAGTTACTGCTTACTAAAGACTGTTACTATTGACAAAAACCAAGTAATTGTTTCTGATTGATACTTATTAGGCTTATTGATAATGATTAGGCTTATTGATAAGTTTCTGATTGATACTTATTAGGATAAGAATGCGGTGATAGTGTTCAGGTGGTATCCAGTTTACCACAGCCCAGTTGCCACTTTTGGAACTGATGAATCATAGCTGCCCAATCTATCTGCTCGGATATTAACCAACACAGATACACATGCCCTAATAGTGAACCTGACACCCGAGACTAAAACACCCATAGTTGAAGGAATTGCACTGGAATTATAAGTTACATGGGCATAGTTGAAGGAAGTTCACTGGAATTATCTCTTTTTTAGCATGGAGAAGAGATGGTCTGATGGAGGAGATTGTATATCTCAGGGTACCCTTCAAAACTTAATACAAACTCATGACAGTAGAAATTGCAACTTCTGACAAGAGCAAACTCAGTTTGTGCTTCATGTTTATCTTTAGGGGGGAACGACAATGAAAGGGCGTTCTCATCAAAAAGGTACCCTTGAAAACTTGTTACACCACACTCTATACCTAAAATTGGTCCAAGGGCAACTAATGTTGAATCGTTAAATCAAGCAAATGTTGATCTTCTAATGTTGTTCTTTTACAATGTTGTTCTTTTACAGGTGGTTGGAATTGGACCTAAAGTTTGTTGCTGATATAGGAATTGTGGATGCTCCAAATGCAGGAAAAAACATGTTTTTAGGTGTTATTAGTGTTGACATGTAGTGTTGTTTGACATGTAATGCTTAGGTAACTTGTTTGACATATGATATTTATTTGAAATAAATTATCGTTCTTATGATAATTTCAATATGTTGTTAAAAAAATATTATTTATAGATTTACTAATTTTCAAATTAAATTTGCATTTAATGTTAAATGCAAATTTAATTTGAAAATTAGTAAATCTATAAATAATATTTTTTTTAACATTTAAAATTACGATACGCAAAAATGTGTGTCATCTTCATTTATGACATGGCCTTTCTTGACAGGGGCTTCCATGATACGCATTGCGTGTCATTAACATGCGCGTCGTAAGGTCACGACGCGCGAATGCGTGTCATCTTCCTTTATGACAGGGCCATCCTTGATACGTATTGCGTGTCGTAAACGCGCGTCGTAAATGCGCGTCGTCTCTCTTTATGATAGGGCCTTCCTTGACGCGCATTTGTGTGTCGTCTGAGCCTTTTACGATGCGCAATGAGCGTCATAAAATGCTGTTTTTCTAGTAATGCCCATAGCACAAAGCAAGCAACATTCGTGCATTAGGTAACCGAACCAGGCATAACCTATACAGGCCATCCTACTGCTGACTAAACAGTCCTAGCATACAGCTCATACAACAAGCATATATGGCATCTTCCCTAGACCCTTAGTCCTATTCTAGCATGCAATTTTCTGAATCGAAACCATATAACATAACATAGCAAGTATGAGTATCTTGGGGAAAACTTACTTGAGCCCGGCCGGTCGCATGCATCACACACTTCATCTTTCTTAAAATCCTTCCATTTAGATTTTAGAAAACCATTTTCCTTGTAAAATATCTTTTAGTCCCTCGGTCTGATTCCAGACACCCCCGAGGGTGTGTCCGAATCCCTTAAACCAGGGCTCTGATACTAACTAGTAACATCCCAAAACTCAAGCCCAAAAATTTTATTTTTAAATTAATAAATTTAAAACATTTTGCCATAACATTGTCAATAAAGCAACACATTACAAAATCATAATATGGTCTCCCAAACCATGACATCAAAATAATGAAAATCAGAGTGCAATACTAGAAAATCCGATGCGGAATCATGTGTGTGTGATGCGATGCTACGCCGCCGACTCCTTCCCCTTAGACGAAGAGATACCTGAAACCAAAACAGAAATAGTAAGCACAAAGCTTAGTGAGTTCCCCCATCATACTACATACCATACAATATCATTGGTATCCTTCAACCGGTAATCATCATCGGTATCTTTCAACCGGTAATCATCGTCGGTATCTTTCAACCGGTAACTTCCATCGGTATCTTTCAACTGATAATCATCATCGGTATCTTTCAACCGGTAACCATCATCGATATCTTTCAACCGGTAACTGGGGACTATTCCACCCCTACCACTAGCATACAACATCAAGATCTAAACATACAATCAGGCATATCCGGGTACTGACCTACCCTCCGGTCCTAAGGACCACTGTCAGGGAAACTGATCCCTACTATACACATAACATATCATACAGATAAATCTCATAACCAAGACACATAACTAGACCAAGATAATTATAACAAAGACAATCATCTCCTAAATATTCCTCTTTAGTGGGCTGACATTGTGGCCTTAGACCCACCCCTACTGGAAGGTAACTCACCTCGTACAAGTAGCTGCTGATAGTCTGCACGGGAAACCTCTATCTGTTGTTGCTCCCGAAATCCTCCGACTATAATCCCCACAAAACACTCAATCAGAATCTGATATCTACTCTTAGGATAAAATGACTATTTTACCCCCAACCATATCCAAGTCAAAGTCAATCTCCAGTTGACCCGAATCGCTGAGTTGGGCCGTCAACTCGTCGAGTCCCTACCCTTTACTCATCCTTATCCATGACTCGACTCATCGAGTTTGGCAACGACTCGACGAGTTCCCCTTCTATACGAACATCAATGAACCTTCATCCGACTCGCCGAGTTATATGAAAAACTCGTCGAGTTCACCTTCATCTGATGAACAAGTCCTGACCTTGACTCGCTGAGTTGTATGAACAACTCGTCGAGTTCATCTTCAAAAATATATGTCCTTTCTGTGGCGGGAGGAATGACGCAAGCAATGACGTATAAAGCCATTATTATTGAATACATTATTGAAGAAATGTGTTCTTTCAATGTGGAAGGGATTGTAAATTTTATGAATGTAATTATTTAAAAGTGTCGGTAAGTAGTATTATAATGTGGTGTAACATAAAGTGTTAGTCCATCCATAGTCTAGGGGGCTAAATTATAAGATAATTCGTCGTATTGCAATCAAACGATTGCAACTCAATTATATAATCGGTTCTCTTGAGCCTATAAATAGGGCCATTACCCGTATGAAATAAACAAACTAAGTTAGAGTGGTTCCAGTACCGGTTCAGACTAGTTCCCGGTCCAAATGCTCATCCCTAGTTATAAGTTTGATACTAATTATTGATTTGAAAATGCTTCGTTTTTTTTAAAAAAAAAAATTGTTTATAATAAAATGGAGATCATTAAATTGATGGAAGAGTATGGTTTGATTTAATTTCTCGTTTAATGGGGGAAAGTTGGAGATAACAATGCGTGATTGGGGGAATAAAGAAGGAAAGTCATTTAATTAATGGAAGATGATGATTTGATTTAATTTATGAATCATTAATGTTTAATGTGATTAATTTCTAAAACAGAAATGTAATATGTGTATTAAAGGGTAATCATAAATTGATTGTACATGATGTATTAGGTATGATACCTCTTAAATTTCAAGACATGTCTAAAATCCTTTATATATATATATATATATATATATATATATATATATATATATATATATATATATATATATATATATATATATATATACACACACTAGTGGTGTACCCGCGCAAAGCGGCGACGACGAATAATTTTCGGGCGGTAATTAACTCATTTCGTTGAATAGTTTCTTTGCGGCAATTTGATCAAATCATAAAAACACTTAAGTATTAAACAAGCTACAAAATATTGATTATTCTTTCATTTCAACAATTAAACGTTGATAAATAAATTTACATGTTACTTCGTTATAAATATCAATCTGCAATCATGCATGTTTGTTCTTTTTAATCATCAATAGATGAAAGTCGATGCATAAATATAATGACATGTTTGGCAATAAACATCAAATTAGTATACATGATACATATTGTAACAATTGTAAAATAATGAGTTCTTAATTGTACCTTATCAATCACACAATACTTCTTTGTACACTATGTTTGATGTCTAGATTGCATCATGATCGAACGTTTTTTCTGGCTTTACTAATACCTTTGTATTAATACGTGATATTCCTCTGGATAAGGCCACATAAAGTTGGTCATGTGAGAATACCGATTCTGGTAGGTAAACTCCCACGTTTGGAATTGTTTGTCCTTGAGCTTTATTGATCGTCATCGAGAAACTAAAGCGAAGTGGAAATTGCTTTCTCTTCAATTTGAACGGGAGCATCTCATCATCAGACATACATAGAGGAATTCTAGGTAAAAACACTCTTTTGCAGCATGTTGACCAACAACTATTTCTACATCAATGACATTTTGCTGGAAAGCTCTACATATCAATCTGGTCCCATTACATAATCCATTTGATGGATCGATATTTCATAATAGTATTATTGGGCAACCAATTTTTAACCGAAGATAATGAGGGGGAAGACCACTAACATTCAGCGAGTTCAAAAACTCCGTCGGATATAAATTATTACTATCGTCTTCCGTTTCATCATAACTGTAGTAAACTTTTTGCTCTCCTGAAAACCGCTCGATCATCTGGTCATTTATCTCATCAACACTTTCATTTTTAGTTGTCAATATACTCAAAAGTTTAAAAATTAATATAATAACAGTTGCAAATCCTTATCAAAAATATTTCAAATCATATGAAACTTAATCATATTATTATCATATTTAAATAGATTGAAAAAAGAATATTTAATCTTGTAAACTAACATAACATGTGATGGGTGTAAGCTTATTATTTTTTATATTATATATAAATACAATATATGGTTTTAACTTTTAATAATAATACAATGTATTTTTAATTTTCCAGCTGTTTGCCAGAAGTTTGTCAAAAGAAGATTCATTGGCCTTCTGGCTTCCTATGAACTTTACACATGCTTGTTTTTATATTATATATAAATACAATATATGGTTTTTTTAATAGTAATATAATTCGATATGTAATTTAATTATAGCTATAGAGTCTATTATTTACAAAACAAAAAACATAATCTTTACTATTAGCTCATTAAAACCCAAATAAGATAATAATAAAAATAATTCATTGTAGTTACTTTTAGAAAAGAAACTAATAATCAAGAATATATTAAAGAATATTAACATTAATACATAAATATCAACTACCATGTAAATTATAAATAATGACATTGCATTTCAATCATTGATTTATATAATGTTCAAGCTATAATTAGGTTTAAATTAGTTTATAAAATTACTCTATCATCTTCTAAAAGAATACATATTTTAATTAGCACATCATCATTGTGATAATCATGAGTTTATGATTATAAAATTACTCTATCATCTTCTAAAAGAATACATATTTTAATTAGCACATTATCATTGTGATAATCATGAGTTTATGAAAAGCATCACACTAACAAAAATCCCAAAATTCCATGTATCACAAATGTCATAGATATACTTTTAATTAAATGACCATTATAATGTTTATTTCAACTAAAAGCAATACAATGGTAAAAAAGAGTTCATGTTTTATAAGTAGAAGATTTTTGCAAATGTTTTATTCACGTAAGCTTCTCGTTACATGTATAGTAAAACGATTTAGACCGATATTAAAACAATTAAAATGCAAACAAAATTCACATATATTTTTATGTTTAATCACGACATAATAAATAATGGTTATTATGAAACTTATAAATAAATTCTAAATAGAAGTTCTATGAAAAAGGAAGCCTATTGTAGTAATTAAGATAACTTACATTTTTAAAGGTATATAAATAAAAAAAATAAAGTGGCAACTCATAATCGGAAAGCTTGGGTCATCTAGGCATCTTAAATAAGTAAATTTATCAGTGAAAACTTGTTACCAGTTTAGTTGTGAATATAAATCTTTAAAAAGCTCAAAATGAGATGAGACCATGGGTATAACCGGAAGGTATATGTCAAAACAAATATTTAAAAAAAAAAATTAAGTTCGAATACAAAAAGAGGGATTTATATACTAAGTAGGCTCAATGGATTGACCATCTTCACTCAAGTAATTGAGAAGTTCATTTGCATTGTTAAAAAAATCACCTGTGATGTGTGTCCACAAAGTTTTGGGCCATGCTAATGATGTGCCCACAAGACTTGCTTCACTATGATGATATGTGTGATGGGTGTCCACAAAGTTTTGGGCCATGCTAATGATGTGCCCACAAGACTTGCTTCACTATGATGATATGCAGAGTGCCCACAAGACCAACCTGTATAAAAAAGACATAATTTATGATTACTAAATGAATGTACAGTTGCATTATATAGAAAGTAATAAAAGTTCATTGATATTTAAAAGCTACGAAAGATCCAAACCTAAAATGAATGTCTCTTTAAATCACCACCAAAGATCAGGTCTTTGACAATTTGGTTCTTAATCTTCCATCTGTTTGCTGGAAGTTTGTCAAAAGAAGGTCCATTTGCCTTCCAGCAGCCTCCTATGATGGCAGTGAGTTGTTTTTCTAAGTGGCTCATCTTGTTCTTGTAAAATATGTGTGTATTATGGTTTGAAATGAATGTTTGTTTGTAAATTGTAAAATGTTATTATATTAATAGCTTAGTCGGTAATTTGATAAAAAGAAAAATATTTTGTGTTTTTTTTCTTTGTTTTGCTCTTTATTAGTTATTATACAACTTTAAAGCATTTCAAAATTTGGTATATAGCACCCATACAAGAATAGCTAGAGGGCACATTAAACATGATATATAACTTATATTTATGAATCATAAAGAAAAAGTACTTTGCACATTTGAATCATTTTGAGTTCTTATTGTGTTAGATCGACATTTCAATCACAATATTTGTTTTTTCACTACAAAAGAAGAACTTTATATGATCACAATTTGCAAACAGCCACTGTTTTTGGTTACTCTTCAAGTTATGTTGAAAACAGTTACTATATTGTGAGAAATCTGTTCGCTTACCTTAGTGGTGAGAAAAAGAATCAATTTTTTTGAATTGATTGAAGATAGAATGATACTTATACCTTATGGTTTGAAGAGAGGAGAGATGAGATATAGTCGACGGATGTGGGGGCAGCTGCAACTGCAACATCTGTGAGGGTGGTCATCGACTATTAGCCCCCGGCTAGTGGCGGAAGTGTGGACAACAACGATTGCAGCGTCTGTGAGGGTGGTCGTCAACGGTTAGCCCCTGGTTAGTGGCGGATGTCGGGGCAGCGGCGATTACAGGTTCTTTGAGGATGGGTGGTGGAGTGGTGGTGATTACAAGTTTTTTGAGGATGGGTGGCGGAGTGGTGGTGATTACAAGTTTTTTGAGGATGGGTGGCGGAGTGGTGGTGATTACAAGTTTTTTGAGGATGGGTGGCGGAGTGGTGGCAGAGCTAGGTTATTTTCCGATGCAAAGGAAGAGAGATGGTGGAGATGGGGTCCAAAGCGATTTTGATGTGGGAGAGATGAGGATGAGGAAAGTGACGACGATTATCTATTATTTTTTAGGGTTTAAGGGTATTAGTGAGAGAAAATTAGAGTATAGAGGAAAATTAAGAATGGTATATAATCAATTGAATTAATAAAACATATACGTACTTTTTTTATTTACGTTTCTTTAGTTAATTTAACGGATGCTTATATGTATAGGAAGAAATAAGCTTAATATGATTGTATATGATGTATTAGAGTTTGTACCTCTTAAATTTCAAGAAACCTCTAATATGCTTTATATATATATATATATATATATATATATATATATATATATATATATATATATATATATATATATATATATATATATATATATATATATATATGGGAAAAGTGAATATACCTAACAACCTTATATAAGCTTAGGTACCTAACTCCACTACATCAGTTTGTATCATATTTACATTGTAATTGTCTAAGGTTCTTAAACTTCAACCCCATAACTTTATTACTTCCAAAATCTGTGGACTTTCATCATTATCTTTCTTTTACATCACGTCCTTTTATTGAATACCGTCTGATAGGCTTCATATCCTACCGCTACAAATGAAATGATGTAGGAGAAATATAATGATGAATTTCCAAATTTTTTTGAAGTAAATCAAGTTTAGGGATAAAATTTAAGAATCTTGCATGATTGCAATGAAAATTTAATGCAAAATGACCTAGTTTGATGAGGTTAGGTACCTAAGCTTATATAAGGTTGTTAGGTATATTCACTTTACCCTATATATATATATATATATATATATATATATATATATATATATATATATATATGTTCAGGTTCATTTGAGACCATTCTAATTTTGTGAGACCGTTAGACCAAATCTAAAAATAATTTTAAAATGCAAAATAAATGGAAAAATCCAAAATTTCTTTTTTTAAATATTATTTTCGGAACTTGAATTAACTAAAAAAATATAAAAAAAAATTCCATTTTTTTTTGAAAAATACGTGAAATATTCTAAATAGAATATTACACTGACATGTTCTAAAAAATAATTTTAAAATGCAAAATAAATGGAAAAATCAAAAAATTCTTTTTTTAAATATTATTTTCGGAACTTGAATTAACTAAAAGAAATAAAAATAAATCTATTTTTTTTGAAAAATACGTGAAATATTCTAAATAGAATATTACACTGTAGATATTCTAAAAATAATTTTAAAATGCAAAATAAATGGAAAAATCAAAAAATTCTTTTTTTTAAATATTATTTTCGGAACATGAATTAACTAAAAAAAATAAAAATAAATAAAAAATAAATTAAAAAAAATAAAAAAAATGCGTCTCACGGTCTCACAAAATATAGGTGGTCTCAAATGAACCTAACCCTATATCAAATGAGAACACCTAAAAGGTTGAGAACGCGAGAACAAGTATATTCGTTTGTGATTCCATGAATTCATTTGTGGAGAAATGTTAAATTTTTACGCACAATCAACATGAATATGCTTTTTCTCTTCAATTGAAATTAAATGCGTAAAAATTTATCATTTCTCCACAAATTAATACATGGAATCGCAAATGAATATACTTTGTTCTCGCGTTCTCAACCTTTTTGGTGTTCTCATTTGATCCTACTTTTATATATATATATATATATATATATATATATATATATATATATATATATATATATATATATATAATATATATATATATATATATATATATATATATATATAATTAACCGTATATGTTTAAGACGACTTGACGAGTAAAAGCGTAAAAGTGTAAAACAACATAGTTGTGTCATGGAGAGAAGTAGAGACCAGCGACAGTCAACCCGAGATATTTCCCACCATCGACCACAACCCTAATCCAACATGAACTCTATCTCTTCAATAATTTCTAAATTTGTTAATTCTAGGGAGAGAATCATATCAAGTTCGCCAAAAAAAGTTCTGACATGGTATTTAACAGTGCGTTGATCGCATCGGTGGCCACCGTCTCCGCCGATGTATGGCAATCGGTAGCATGTATCTCCGATCGAATTACCAGCCGCGAATTGTTAGATCTGGTGGTTTGTTTTCCGCTCCAACTGTTAGGCCGTTTTATGCTTTGTATTTGGACCTGTTTCTGTGTTCCTCTATCTCCTACTGATTCTATTTTTTCTTACGCTTATAATGATGATGATGATTGGGATTCGGATTTCGATTCTTATATGAGTTCCTCCGAAGACGAAGTATTTTTGGATTACGATCATTGAAAGATCCAATCATGATACGATTTAATATCCTGTCGATTAATTATAGATATACTGTTCAAATTAATCTTGATTTATCAGATAATTTTTACTCTGTTCTTGACTGATCATTACATCATTACAATATAAGTGACAACTTGGGCCAAAATTTTCTGCTTTTAAGGATCTTTATTCAAGTGGCATCTTTTCCAAATTATCTTTATGCAAGTTCTTCACTTTCTATCAAAATCCTGACATTCTTGTAGTTGTACACTTTAAGTGATAAAGGGTTCATAAAGATGCTTTAGGATAAGGCAATTATCGACACTTCTATGTGATTTGAAATTAAAAGAATAGCACCACTAGCTGTTGTCTGACCACAATAGCGTATGGTATGCACCTTCTTCTTGAAATCTTTTAAGGATCATAAGTTATGTGTTGTTGTGTCATTATAAAGTAACATATAGGTAGCTTTATTTCAATTCATGTTATTGTAGGATTCTTTCTTTATGCCTTCATAATGTTGTCCAAGGATCGAATTACCATGATCTTTGGTCTTGAAATAAGTGGTACTTTAAAAGAAGTGAAACAAGATGAATGAGTTTTCTTAAAATAGGTAAAATATAAAAGGGATTTGAGTGTATGAGTTCCAAGATGGATATGTGTTCATCATAATCATTATTTATGTCTCATTGTGATGAACATAGTATGATTTTCGTAAGACCATTTGTTGTCCATGTATGTCTACCAATGTCATATGTTTAGTAAAACAATACATAAACTGGAAGGCATAAGTTAAACAAAGAAGAAACTAAATGTAAAGAGGTTGAGGCTAGTGTTTAACATGATTCCCTTTTAACATATTGTTTGTCTCTCATTGTATTATAGGATTTAACCAACTAATTATTCTGAAACCAAAAATAGAAGATATATAATTAAAACATACAAAACAAAGTATTTATTAGATTCAAACGAACATATAATTCAACGAGAGAAAAAATTAAACGATTGTTAACATGCGACTTATGAAACAAGACTAACGACAATACATCTTTATACGAGAACAAACCGATAAAGCGTAGTTAGCATATATTATATGTGTGCATTAAGTTATAGTGATCTTGTATTATTCTTCGCACTTAAGTTAGTCGCTCGAGACATTTGTTGGTCCCTGCGAATGGCAAGTTAGTGGTCCTATATGTTCTATCATCATCTCAGTATGTTGTTGATATTCTACTTAGGGATTGCCTACTACTTTAATTTTTAGAGTTTTTGGACGTTCAAGACCACTACCATGATTAACCTGTGGGAGGTTGTTAACATATATTATTTGTTTCAAGGTTATCAATGATGGTAAGAAGCATAATCAATCAGTTCACGATTTAGAAAAATGGGTATTTAATGAAGCTATTCTCGATTGACCTTCAGTCACGGGCGAGGATATAGCTAAAGGTGGGTCACTTGACCCACCTAAATCAACAGTTCTAAAGCCCATATTTTATATTTCAATAGTCTAAAATCTCGAATGCCCAACTTCGTTATGATATAATCCAACAAAAAATAGCCCAATACAACATAAAATTAAATAAAAAAAATTGTAACAAAAAACGCCGATTCACTTAATAACGAACTACATGATTTTATGTGCTAGACTCGCTACTACCTTTAGGTAAAGAGACCTTGTCAATCAACAAAATGGGTAATGAAAATAAAAAGTGAATTACAATTTTTCAATTTTCATGTAGTGGTAGGACCGGATCTGATCAATCCGACGATCCCATTTATGATCTTAGCTATAAAACGGTTCTAATATGGTTAGATATAATTTTTATAGGTAGGATTGTAAGAGCTTATTATCATAATTAAGATCTTAACAACCTTTAATTTGTATGTATTAAGTTAGTAATTATCTTTCATTATACTTGGTTCATAAGTTAGACGGCCATATATTGGTCCATTTATGGACATTGTATTTTCTTTATAAGCTTATCAATGAGAGATGATCATTCATGGGATAATATTTCAAGCCTGTTAACTCCTTACCTATCAAATAACAACTCGTGTTATAATTTACACTAAAAGAAAAACAAATTCAATACGTAACATAGCTAAATCACAAAATATGTTTTTAATTAAACTTCTATACCACTATCTTTTTTAAAACAACTATGTTGATCCGACTATCTTTTGTTCAACATCAGTTCCAAAATATGTTCTAACATTTTCACAAGTTGATAATTGCTTAACATGGTTGTTATTACCGTTTAGAAATAGTCTTTTTACCGGTTTTAACCGGTAACCGGTAAAATAAATATTTCTAAACGGTAATAACAACCATATTGGTCTAATATGCACAAAAAAACCTTAGTGACCTATTACGGACAAACTGGAAACCTAATTACCCTTCTAAGTCATTAACCCTAAATTTAAAGACATTGAGAATATATGACCATCAATAGTAAACTAGTTCTAAACGAACTCGCGTCGTCCCATATAACCTTCTACTCCTCTATATGGCGAAGCTCTTCATCTATGGTCGTCCCTTTGGGGACATTTGATAAAACTGGAACGATACAGAGAAGATTAGCATGGGTCCTGTGCAAGGATGACACACACAAATCGAGAAATGGTCTAATTTTTTTTAAACCCTTCGTCGTTTTCTCTAGAACCCTAATTCCATTTTCAAATGCTAATAGAGTTCAATTGCAATTCTTACGTTTCGGTAGTTCATCTACTGAAGTCATGATCAGACAACATGTGGATTCCATTGTCAGATTAATCTTCTTGTTGATGTTTTCAACAATTTGTGGTAAGGGTGATCTTTCTTTTTATAAAGTCTCCTTTAAGTTTTTTACTTTTCATGTCATTAAGTTTCATGCTTTATAAACTTCTGTTTATGTGTTGTATATGGTCTGTATGTGTTTGTTTATGTGCTGATTTTTAATTAATTTTGCAACTTCGGTTTCTTAGTTCATGTTGTGGTTTTGCTTTTTATAAAACAATTGATAATAAGCATCCTTTGTAAGTCCCTGTTGGTTTTACATTTCCATTCATTCAAATATAGACATTGATGGGAGGTATCAAAGTGAGATTGTATTTGTACATATGGATGTGTGCATGTAAACATTTAAATGATAAAAAAGAAGTTATTGATAAAATGTTGCATATTTATGTAATGAAGATCATCAATCATATGAGTTTTTGGACTTAGAAGTTCTGGAAGGGTTGTGAGATAAGTTTAAATGGAAACAACTATTTTCAATCAAACAAGTCAGTCACATTGATTAGTAAGCTTGTTTTCTAAATAATTAGTGTTAATGACTTAAAAGGGTAATTAGGTTTTCAGTTTGTTCATATTAGGCCACTAAGGTTTTTTTGTGCGTATTAGACCAATATGGTTGTTATTACCGTTTAGAAATAGTCATTTTAACGGTTTTAACCGGTAAAAAGAACTATTTATAAACAGTAATAACAACCATATTGGTCTAATACGCACAAAAAAACCTTAGTGACCTAATACGAACAAACTGAAAACCTTATTACCCTCCTAAGTCATTATCACTTTAAATATTCATCTAGACGAAACTTCTTAAACAAATAATTAATAATAGTTGGATTTTATTATTTTGGGACAAATAAACATATACTTATCAATATTATTTGTTGCTTTGTGTGCTTTTAGATATCACTAACGATTTGATATTAATTTGTTGTTCAATTTTTTGTTTAAAATACATGGGTTTTCCTCTAAGTAAACGTCAATGCTTAATAGTCTATCAACAAAAATTGCTAGCAACTTGGCATTTCCCTTCGCTATTGTAAGATTTTGATTTCTAGAGCTTAAGTTTAAAGATCAAAATGGTTAACAATTGCGATTAAAAACCTTATCAGATCACTGCAAAAGCTTATAGTTACATTATTGTGATGGAGAACATGATTCCATGAGCTGGAATATAAAATAAATTATGGCAAATGTGACTAGCAGCAGCGCCACCGCCATCTTATTTTAGTCACCAAACCGCTAAAACATTTTAGAAAGAAAAAAAATAAACAAAGATAAGGCCGTTTCAAACATATATTTTGAGTTCACGGTGATAGAAAAAAATGGACCCTTAAAATACATAAATGACATCAAGTTTTTTATAATAACTCAATAATTAAAAAAAAATTACTTGTATTATCTTCTAAATATAACAATTTCATAAAAAAAAAATAGACCCTTTTGAAAAATAGATCCTGAACGGTCGCCCTATCGCCCACCCTTTGAGACGGATCTGAACAAAGAACATGTGTTGCTAAGAGCAACATGGGAGGCATTGACAGAACCGTTATCCAATATCTATCCCTTTGAATTGATTAACTTCTTTAAAATTACATTATGTTTGTTGTTACTAATAATCTATCTTTAAGTGGTTATTAATTTGTAAAGGGATAATGACTTCAGAGGGTAACATACTTTTGATTTTGATCACATTTGGTCACTGAACTTTTTTTCGTGCTCTATTAACCCTTTAACTTGTTGATTTGTGCAAATTTTCCCCTTCCGACCGGGTTTAGCCGGTTTTAAACGGTTTATTGATCCTACGTGTATTTTTTTATCTTACGTGGCGAAAGAGGTGGCATGTAGGGCCTGATTTTTCGTCTCCGTCTCATTAAACCACACCCCGAAGTCTCATTTGGTCCTTAAACTCGACTAGGTCACGAAATTCTCCATCGTTCATTCATCTCCTTCAACCGTTCTATGGCATCATCTCCAAATCCTACTGATCAGAACTTCATTGTAGTGGATTTCCACTACAATGGTCAGTTTGCACCCAATCCCTTAGTTTACTTTGATCCCAACAGAGCATCAGTGCGAGATGTTGACTTCAGTGGGTTTGGGTATGAGCAATTCATGGAATTCCTTCACAAGCTCACCAACTCGAGAAGCAAAGACATCTATTTCTGCCTTCCACAAGAGTCTTTAGGTCTTGGAATTCATACACTGGTGAACAACGGTGATTACAAGGAATTTTTGGATTTGGCGTATGCTAATGACAAGAGAATGAATGTATATGTGGATCACCATAATGAACCTATCTTCGACTGGATTGAGGCTGAGGAAAGTGAAAGTGAAAACGAAGACTTAGATGAAGATGAGGATTCAGTTATTCAAGATTCATATTCTGTTGATCATGAAGAAGATGATGCTACCTATCCATTTCCAGCAAACAAAACTGCACGTGATAGATTTTTAAACATCCTTTGTGAACCTATAGAGAGTGAAGATCAAGATGATGAATACGTGCCACCCCAGTACCCTGTGTATGATGAGAGACAGCCATGGGATCAGATGAAACCAATTATAGGTATGCGATTTTCTAACCCTACTGAGCTTAAACATATGTTAAGCAATTATGCAGTTGCTAATGGGTATGATCTATGGTTTGAAAAAAATGACTCTGATAGATTGTTAGTGAAATGTTGCAAAAAGAATAAGTCACCATCTTGCCCTTTCAGACTATGGGCCTCCTGGATGGGTAAAGAAAAGACTTTTCAGATCAAATCTCTAGTGAATGAACATAATTGTTGTAGGGTGTTTAAGTTTGGGTCAATTGTAACTTATAGATGGATAGGGAAACATTTTATGAGTCAAATTATAGAGAACCCCAAAATGAGTGCAAGGAAGATGAAAGCTAAAGTGTCAACAACATTCAACATAAATGTGAGTGTGGGGCAATGCAGAAATGCAAAGAAATTTGCATTACAAGAGATTGAAGGAAGTTTAATTGAACATTATGGGAGATTGTGGTCATATGGTGAGGAAATTATCAGGTCAAATCCTGGGTCTACTGTGAGATTGGATGTAGACATCATGCCAGATTCCACAACTTTGTTTTCTAAGTTTTATGTGTGTTTCAAAGCTGTAAGGGATGGTTGGTTAGAAGGGTGCAGGCCAGTAATTGGGCTTGATGGTTGCTTTTTAAAGGGTATAGTTAGAGGAAAAAGTTATTTCAGCTGTTGGGAGAGATGCAAACAACCACATTTACCCTTTAGCATGGGCTGTGGTATGTGTTGAGAATAAAGAAACATGGAAGTGGTTCATAGATTTGCTTATGGATGACATTAATGGTGGTCTTGGTGCAGGCATTACCCTTCTTTCTGATGGACACAAGGTTAGTACTAGGTCATTTTTATGCTTTTTCACTCATAATGATGTTGTGATTTGTAGGGGTTATTACAAGCAGTTAAGGAAAGATGTCCAGAAGCTGAACATAGACAATGTGCTAGACACATTCTGGCCAATTTTAATAAAAGGTTTACTGGTCAACAATACATAAAGTTATTTTGGAGGGCTGTAAGGGCTAGTACTGTGGAGAAGTTCAGAGGTGTAATGGAGAACATCAAATCTATTGATACTCATGCTTATGATTACCTTATAGACAGAGATCCTACTACCTGGTCTAAGGCATTCTTTCAAAAGGAAGAGACTGTGATGCAGTGGAGAATGGGGTCAGTGAGAGTTTCAATTCTGCTATTAGGCATGCTAGAAGGAGACCTATAATCACTATGCTGGAGGAGATTAGGTTATTTGTGATGGAAAGGATATACACTCAAAGAGTTGAAGGAATGGAATGGGATTTGCTTATATGTCCAACTATTAGGAAGCGTATAGAACATCTGAAGGTTAAACAGAGGTAATTATTTTACTTTAATATGCTTATGTTAATTATGAGGATGTGTTATTGATTCACTGATGTTAATATGCTTAAACAGATTGTGGGGAGTTACTCCTTGTGGTTATCAAAAGTATGAGGTTAGATTCACTGATGTTGCATATGGAGTGGATCTAATTGCAAAGAAGTGTGCCTGTAGAATATGGCAACTTACAGGGATACCATGCTTACATGGAGTGGCAGCAATATCTTACTTAAATCATGATGCTGAGGCATATGTGTCCCAATCATACACTACTGAGGCTTACCTAAAATGCTACAAATATAGCATTAATCCTCTCAATAGTAGTGAAATGTGGCCAGATGTTCCATACCATAAGCCTTTGCCTCCCAAAAGAAGAAGATTACCTGGTAGGCCATCTGTGAAAAGGAAGAGGGATGCAATTGAACGAGAGTTGAGTGGATCAAGTAGACAAACTGTCTCAAGAAGGGTAGCATAATAAAGTGTGGTATTTGTAAGGAACCAGGTCACAACAAGAAAAAGTGTCCATCTAACCAACAAAGCAATACATCAGGTGAATATTTTTAAAAAAATTACATCATTTGAACAAAGAATTGACATTTTAATTTTTGTTTGCAGTACCAAGTTCATCCAGGGGTAGTGGAGCAGACCCAAGTTTATCTAGGGGCAATGAAGGACCACCACCTCCACCACCACCACCTGCGGCCCCCATGCCAAGAAGAAGGGTCCCAGTTAGTAGAAGTGGAAGAAGGAAATATTCTGAACGGATTATCAAACAAGCATTAAGGAGGCAGATACCTGGGGTTGGGAGCAATGCAGATAACCCTTCAGTTATTGATTAATTTAGGGGATAATAGTGGGTGGGTAGGAATATCTTTTGTAAGGCAGTTGTGATGTAAAGACAAAGTAGTAGTCTTTTTATTATGCTTTTCTATGGTACTATCAAGTAGGTGTATGGGCACATGGTGGCCCTTCTTTTGTCTATGCAGGAATCTTTTGTGTTACCTAGAAACTACTTTTGTGTATGCAGACAAAAACTTATATAACTGTAGAATATTAATGGCGTATTACAATGAATCCAACCACCACATTCACTTACTTTTTTTATTATATGTATTTGTTATATGTATGCTACTTTGTGATTCCATTCCAGTCAAAACTAATTCTTTATATGCATGCTACTTTGTGATTCCATTCCAGTCAAAACTAATTCTTTATATGCATGCTACTTTGTGATTCCATTCCAGTCAAAACTAATTCTTTATATGCATGCTACTTTGTGATTCTATTCCAGTCAAAATCAAATATGTATTCATTGTTATATGTATGCTTCCTTATGATTCCATTCCAGTCAAAAATATTTCTTGGTGATTCCATTCCAGTCAAAGTTACTTCATTCCATTCTTTGTGATTCCATTCCAATCAAAGTTAATATGTATGCAGTTAATATGTATGCTTCTTTATAATTAAATTTTCCATTACAATCAATGTTACTTCATTCCATTCCAACAAGAAGTTAAGATAACAACTCTATTCTATTCAAACAACATCTTTCAATACATCATGTGACTTCATTTCATCATATACACGATGATCAGAAAAAGAAATCCAATGGTAAACTTATATATTTTCTCCTTCATTGCAATGGCATCAGAGTACTTTTCCTTCTTCATCTGTTCCATGTCTTCCTTCACCTTCTCTACTTCGGTCTTCAATGCTACTAATTCAGCTTTCATTCCCTCCACCACTTCCATCAGAGGCATCTGTACAAGTTCTACATCCAACCATTTCCAATATTTGCATTTACCCTTCCACAATAAAATTTCAAAGTGAGATTTCAAATCTGGAATAAATGAATCAGAAAAGAGGGGAAATTTAAGTGAAATTGCTTACCTCATTGCACACCATGAAATGCCTCCCTGGATTCTTTGGTGTTGTTGATGTTAGAATACGTGCAGGGAACCCACAATCACAAGTTTTTGGATCATTCACTGTGGATTTCTTGCTTGATCGATTGAGGGAGGATGAGATGCTGTAGGAGGAAGCCATCGGGTATTAGGGCAACGGGGTATTAGAGCACAATAAATGAACAACAAACGCCCCTCCTTTAATAACAAGAACCCTAGATGCCAGTTAGGATCAAAACTGACACGTAGGATCAATAAATTCATTGAAACCGGCAAAAACCAGTCGGAAGGGGAAAATTTGCACAAATCAACAAGTTAAAGGGTTAATAGAGCACGAAAAAAAGTTCAGTGACCAAATGTGATCAAAATCAAAAGTATGTTACCCTCTGAAGTCATTATCCCATTTGTAAAATATTTTGAAAGACATAAGTTTAAATCCTTAATTAGGTCTGGCAAAAATATGTTCATAATAAAAGGGTGTAGATTTGAAATTTCGAATTGATATAAAAGTCATAAATTTAAATCTTACCTTGTGATAAATACTAAATAGTAGAGCTAATCACTAAAAAAGATAAAATTAAAGACACAATTAGGGGTGAGCAAAAACCGAACCGACTAAAGAAAAACCGTCAAAACCGCAGTAAACCGCAACCGAAAAACCGAAACCGTTGCAAAAACCAATGGTGCGGATTTAATTTTTGCAAAAACCGAAGGTCAACGGTGCGGTGCGGTTTCTATCCTAAAAACCGGTCCATCAAAACCGAACCGCACCGCAAGTGTGTATAGTAATAAATCAATCAATGTATATTATATACATTCTATTTAAAATAGTTATAAACGATAATATATTTATTATATGTTTATTTTGTGTTTGTATAAAACTATATGGGGTGCAAAAGAAATGTTCTATTGTTAGCCAAACGTACTAATCGATTACATGTAATAAGCTTGTAACAAATTAACTCAAAATCAACCAACCTTCAATCATTAATTAGTTTGTGAGAGTAGTGACAACTTGTATTTTAAGCGACTTACAATTTTTGATTATGTAATTTTGTTTTGAGCTGAAAATGAATGTATTAAAAAAAACAGCACAATACAAGCTTATATGCACATGGTTTTCAGTTCTTACAGTTTTAAAAAACCGCACGAAAAAACATAAGAAAACTGCACCAAATTCTTAACACGGTTTAAAAACCGAAACCGCATTTAAAAACCGAAAAACCGAACTATTGCAAAACCGCACCCAACGGTTTTAAGAATGCAAAAACCGCACCATGCGGTTTGCGGTTCGGTTTGGTCTGAAAACCGCACCAAACCGCACTATGCTCACCCCTAGACACAATATCAGCTGATTTTTTTTATCTTATATTTATATTATAAACGATAAAGAAAAAAGTTTGTTATTCGTGAAATTGCATTTACATTAGTCTCTCTCATCATGTTTCGAGAACTTTTAATCTTTTTGTAATTTTTTTTTTAAATTTTAGCAAAACACTTATTTTCATTACCCTTTTTTCAAAAGAAAAAAAAAAGCCAATGTACAGAAAAGTATGTGGTTTTGGCTTACAAAAAAAAAAAGATTTTTTTTTTTTTTATTTTTTTTGACAAAATTAGTTAAAATGCTAACTTTTAGGAGGTCTCACGTTTGTTTATTTAGGCTGTGGTGCCATCTTATTATTTTGATGGTACATTGGCGCCATTTTATTTCTTTCACGCTACGCTAATTTTTTGTAAATTAGAGGAGTGGTTAGCTATTTTTGCCATAGTTTTTCATAAAATAAATTTTAACACTTAGTTCTGATTTTTATTTTTTTACAAAATTTCCATTAATTAATAATAAAAACACGCATAACAACAAATTAAAACTTAAAACCTTAAAAACTTTAAAACTCATAAATATATAATTTAAAGAAAGTCGTTGTCCGTAAATTGGTCTTCCAAGTCATTTGCGGGTTCCCCATTAAGATCAATATAGTCAACTGTCTAAATATGTTATGAGAAGATCATGATGAACCTCTGCAAAGATTAATATAGCCAACCGTCCAAATATGTTCAGTTAAGTGTCTGCAAAGATCATGATGAATCTCAAAATTACGTATTAATTCTCTCATTGTCATGTACTAATTACTACTAATCTCTAGTAGTTGTGTCCATAGAACGATTTTGTTGTTGTCATACTTACATATCATATACTTTTTCGTTTTCTAGAATCATATTATGTAATATGATACAAGTATATATCATCTCACTCGTCTTTTTTTTTCTAGTATTTTAGAACGTTTTTTTAAAAGTTTGAAACGCTCGTTCAACATATTTCCTCACCTTTTTCCTATGCTCTCTTAAACTTTTAACATGTTTTGATCATTAAGATATGAGAATGTTCTAACAAAAACAAAATGCTCAAGATAGATCTCGTCCACAAGATAATACATAAACATGTCAGACGATCCATACGCTACAAATGAATATTTTGATGCAGTCCCGTAATATATATCATTGAATATCTGTGACATACTAAGAACAAATGTGTCACTAAGCGAACTAGAAGCACCGAAGAAGACATGTTATATCCACAAATCCCGTGAGACCATGACTTCAAGTATGATTGTTGGATGAATTTAATTACCTCACTCGTATTGACTATGATATGCATTCGAGTAATTCCCTCATTCCCAATTGAGGTAATCCAAGATTCCTAACATTCCAGCGAATTCATATACGTTTGCATGACGAGGATGTAATTATTAGAAAAGTTCATTACATGCTTGTACAATTTGTGAAGATTTTTTCTCGTGCGGTACATGCAAACATTCTAAGATTAACATCTAGTCCATTGGATGGGGTGCGATATACTATCATATGAAGTGCAGGTTTGAATTTATGTAATGGAGTGAATCTATTGTACCTCTTGCATCTAGACATTGTTGGAAATATGAACACACTTCTATCACATCTTCGACAATAAGCCGAAACAAATATTTGTGCATTCAGAATCATCGTCGAAAATAGCACCCTTGAAAAACCACACACTCGTCAAAATAAATGTGCATGCATGAGACGTTAGTGGGCAGGTTTAGGGTCTATGTGTATACATTTTTCCCTCACAATTTCGGCTTCCTAGTTGAGTAGTTCTTCAATCCCGCTCGCCATCGTTTTGGCACCCTCCCCCGATAGCATCATGTCAAAAGTTCACGAAAATGAAGATGTAAAGAAGAAAGTGTTGGTATGGTATTAAAAAAGTATATTATATTAATATTTATAAAGTATTAAAATTGAAAATATATATATATATATATATATATATATATATATATATATATATATATATATATATTTCAAATAAAATAACTGTTATTAGCACCGACACACATGCTAAAAGAGAAAAATGCGGAAGGATGAGACCAAATTGCACTTGTCGCCTCGGCATGCCAAGTATGAAATGTGGTGTGGCCTAAAGAACCTTAATACATATGTGGAAAGTTGATCTTAAATGGTCTTTAACCTAAAATCTTTTTTGAAAAATCAAATCATTTTTTTAAATGATGGGGTTATATTAAATTGCATACTAGGAAACGTTAGACCAGTCACCTCTAAACGATGGTCTTTAACCTAAAGAACCTTGGTTTCATACACCTAAATTCACCACTTTGGTCCGAGCAAGGCTCGAACCCATCACCTCTAGAATAAAACCCAACAAGGGGAAAACTTGAATGCTTCACCGACCTAAGCTAGACATCATTTGCAAAATAAATAATAACATCATTATTTTCTTGACTTAATCTTATTTAAATTTTACAGAATAAATAATAATGACGATAGACAATTTCATGAAATTGCTTATCTTCAAAAATAATAACGTCATTTTTTTTTCGCAAAATGGCTTCCATTTTCCGAATACATATCCTACAGAAAAAAAAATGCGCTAATATGAT